CTAATTGTATATCTGATAGAGAAAAAAATATGTATTAACTGCGTATATGGTATGGTACGCATTGCCAGGGAAAAATATCAGTGTGAAATTAAAAAATAACAATAATAACTGAGTATAAGCTACGGAGAAATAACCAGGAAAAAAAAAAGTTACTAATTGTATATATGACAGAGAGAAAAAAATAAATAATTGCGTACACGGTATGGTACGCACTGCAAGGGGGAAAAAACGTCGAGAGAAAAATAATCCCCTAGCGTACCGAGTATGACAGGAACCGCCCCAGAGAATATGCTGTGCAACCTGCGTCTAGAGGAAGCACGCCAGAAGCAGCTCGCACTCTGAGACAAGGAAACGTATTCTGAGTTATAAATGTCTTGCGAGTATTTGGACGCCAACCCACTCCGCGACGCCTCCTGGGCCCCTACACCCTACTCTCTGCTCTTCGCGGAGGGGACATCTTTTTTATCGCTGATAGTAGCAATGATAACAGTAATTGTGATAAAGCAATGATGTATATTTTTTTCTCTCTTTTTAGATGGGTATTAGTCTGAAATAAATGAACATATTGTCAGAAATAAGAAACATATATTCTCGTTGATAGTAGCAATGATAACAGTAATTGTGATAAAAGTAAATAAGGAACATAAATAGTCTATGTAGGATCTATTCTCGTTGATTGTAATGATGATAGCAGTAATTATGATAAAGTAATGATATATACTAGGATCTATTCTCGTTGGTTGTAATAATGATAATAGTAATTATGATAAAGTAATGATGTATATTTTTCTCTCTTTTTAGGTGGGTGTTAGTCTGAAATAAGGAACATGTATTGACTATTGTAGTATCTATTCTCATTGATAGTAATAATGATAGCAGTAATCATGATAAATTAATGATGTGTATTTTTTCTCTCTTTTTAGGTGGGTGCTAGTCAGAAATAAGGAACATATATAGTCTATATGGGATCTATTCTCGTTGGTTGTAACAATGACAGCAGTAATTATGATTAAAGTAATGATATATACTTTTTTCCCTCTTTTTAGGTGGGTGCTAGTCAGAGATAAGGCACACATATATATAGACTAATGTAGTATCTATTCTCGTTGGTAGTAATAATGATAACAGTAATTACACTACAGTAATTATGTACATTTTTTTTCTCTCTCTTTTTAGGTAGGTGTTAGTCAGAAATAAGCAACATGAATAAACTATGCATTTACACTGTGTAAAGTATTTTCTCATTAAAAAATCATAAAAATAAACACCTGTGCTTCTGCCTCCAAGCAACAAGTTCCGTCTGACAGTGAATTATGGCGTCTGGGACATCTCTCTTTCTCGCTCTCTCTCTCGCTCTCTCTCTCTCTTTCGCTCTCTCGCGCTCTCTCGCTCTCTCGCTCTCCGCTCTCAATCGCTCTTCTCTCTCTCTCTCTCTCTCTCTCTCTCTCTCTCTCTCTCTCTCACTCTCTCTTTCTCTCACTCTCTCTCAATCTCACTCTCTCTCAATCTCACTCTCTCTCAATCTCACTCTCTCTCAATCTCACTCTCTCTCAATCTCACTCTCTCTCTCTCTCTCTCTCCTCTCTCTCTCTCTCTCGCTCTCGCTCTCTCGCTCTCTCGCTCTCTCGCTCTCTCGCTCTCTCGCTCTCTCGCTCTCTCGCTCTCTCGCTCTCCTCTCGCTCTCGCTCTCCTCTCGCTCTCCTCTCCTCTCTCCTCTCCTCTCTCTCCTCTCGCTCTCTCTCTCGCTCGTTCCTCTCCTCTCTTCCTCTCCTCCTTTCCTTCTTCTCTCCCTCCCCTTCCTTTTCCTCTCTCTCCCTCCTCCCGATCCCTCTCTCTCTCCTACCCTCTCCCTTCTCCCTCTCTCTTCTCCCTCTTCTGCCTCCCTCCCTCTTCTTTCTCTCCCCTCTCTCTCTCTCTCTCCTTCCCTCTCCCCTCTCCCTCCCCCTCTCTCTCTCCTCCCCCTCTCTTCTCTCCCTCCCTCTCTCTCTCTCCTCCCTCCTCTCTTCTCTCCCTCCCTCTCTCTCTCTCTCCCTCTCTCTCCTCCCTCCCCTCCCTTCCTCTCTCTCCCTCCCTTCCTTCCTCTCTCTCTCTCTCCCTCCCTCTTCCTCTCTCTCCCTCACCCTCCCTCTTCTCTCCCTCTCCCCCCCCCTCTCTCTCTTCTCCTCCCTCTCTCTCTCCCTCCCTCTCTCTCTCTCTCCTCTCTCTCTCTCTCTCTCCCTCTCTCTCTCTCTCTCTCTCTCTCCTCTCTCTCTCTCTCTCATCTCTCTTCTCTCTCCTCTTCCTCTCTCTCTCCCTCCCCCTTCTCCTCTCTCTCCCCCCTCCCTCCCTCTCTCTCCCTCCTCCCCTCTTTCTCTCCTCTCCCCCTCTCCCTCCCCCTCTCTCCTCTCCCTCCCTCCCCCCTCTCTCTCTCCTCTCCCTCCTTCTCCCCCCTCCCTCCCCCCTTCTTCTCTCCCTCCCCCTCTCGCCTCCCACCTCCCCCACCCTCTCTCTTCTCGCCTCC